TGCAAGAGAAAAGGCCTGGTGATCGGCGCCTGTAAAGATGGTTGGAGGGTGTCGTCAGGTCAGTTCTGTGACTCTTATCCCACAGAGTGGAACCGCCAGCGAATTACAGCCCAGGCAACCCTGTGGGCCGTTTGCTGCTCTGCAGCACAGCCAGGTACTGGGACCGGAAGGTCAACTGCACAACATCAACAACATTCAACGGAGAGGATGCTTAGCTCTTCTCTCTCTCTTTGTCCTTCACATTTATGGCCAGCTTGTAAGTGTGAAAATCTGGGAGTCCCAATCAGACCATTGTTGAGAACTCTCATTTTCTGGGACGCTCACGTTGGTGGCTGGCCACGCACACACCAAACAAAATGAAACTCACTGTCCTCCCGTCCAGTCCGACTCATGGTGACCCTGTAGGACAGGGTAGAACTGCCCCCTATGGGTTCTGAGACTGTTAACTCTTTATGGGAGTAGAAAGTCTCATTTCTGTGCTGAGGAGTGGCTGGTGCCAGTGATGGAACCTAGGGCCGAATATATACAAACCATATGGTCTACCACCGAGCCACACAAAACTAAACCAAACAAGCCAACCTACAAACGCTACCAAACCCACTGCCATCAAGTCAATGCTGACTCATAGTGACCTCACAGGAGAGAGTAGCACTGCCTCTGTTAGTTTCTGAGGTTGTACCTCTTTACAGGAGTAGAAAGCCTTATCTTTCTGCCTCAGAGCAGCTGGTGGTTTCCAACTGTCCACCTTTCAGTTAGCAGCCCATTATGTAACCATCATATCACCAGGTCTCCCTAAAGGAAAAATGCCACCCACTCCGGTCTGAGGCTGCAGCGAAGTAGATAGCAGGGCCTTGTCTGGAAGTGTCTGCTTTCAGGTTTCATAGTCAATACAAGTTCCCTGGGACAGAAGAGTAAGGGCTATGCTGAGGAACATTGGCCAGGAAGCAAACTTGGGTCTTCTGCATGGAGGGCAAGAATTCCACCACCGAACAGTAAGTTCAAACTTCAGAACATAGAGAGGAGGAATCCAAATACTTGTATATACTCAAGTATAAGCTGGCCCGAATATCAGCTGAGGCACCTAATTTTACCACAAAAACTGCATTAAATATGTGCTGAAAAAACTCGGCTTATACTTGAGTATATATGGTAAACAAGCAATGGTGCTCTCTGTCGATTTAGGCAAAATCCTGAAAATTCATTCTCTTTAGCAAGAAGAACAAGGATTTATTGAGTGTTCACAGCATACCAGGAAATGCATAATAATTAATTTAATCATCACAACAAAACTTTTTGAGGTAGAAACTATTACTACCCTGTCTCAATGATGAGGAAAAGAGAGAGAGGGTGGAGTGATTTTCCTAATATTGCACGGCTTGAGTCTGACTTGGTGGTGGGAGATCTTGGCCCACCTGATGTCTAAGGCTGATCCCTCGCCTATGCACCCTCACTGGTGACTCATCCCACTTCATATCCTCAGGGAAGCACAGCTGGATCTGGATGTTTTCCTGATTCCAAGCCTTGAATCCTTTCCCAATGTCCTCACCAGAGCGTAATTGAAAGCGCATTTGTGTGTAATATTAAGATACAGTTTCAGCATAGTCATTCTACCCTTGGTTTTTATATCCTCCACTCTCCATATACAGAGCCCTCATGGCACAGTGGGTTATGCTGCGAGGCCACCAGTCCTAATCCACCAGTTGCTCTGCAAGAGGAAAGAGAGAGCTGTCTGGCCCTATAAAAGATTACAGCTTCGGGGCCCCTAAATAGATAGGGTCACTCACTTTGCGTTGGAATCAACCCCATGGGGGTGGTTTTGGGTTTTTTCAGTCTGTTATTCAGATGGAAGCATTAGTGGTTCAGTGTCAGAATTTTTGTCCTCCATGTAGGAGACCAATGAGCCCTGTGGCATAGGGGGTTACACATTGGACTGAGGTTTCAGGGTCAGCAGATCAAAACCACTTGCCACTTCACAGGAGAAAGGCGGGCTCTTTACTCTCGCAAAGATTATAGCCGTGGAAAACTACGGGGGAGGTTCTACTCTGTCGAGTAGGGTTGTGATGAGTTGGAAT